TGGCAAAAAACTCCAGAAGCCTATCAGGAGAGAAACAGCGATCATTCACAACTTTTTGTTTGCCTTAGACTGTTGTTTACAAAGAGATTATATGAAATATTATTTAGAATAAGTGTTATAACTTTTTTGTGATGCAATATACATGAAATAAAAAAGATAATTAAAAATATAAAAGTGCAATTAAAAAATATGTTTATGGTACAAATAAAATAATTCTTGAAATCTGAAGTCTGAAATATGAATCTATTATGTTAATGAATTGTTAAGTACTAAATTTGATACATTTAAATATATATATATTACATTAAATGATAAGTTAACAGTTCACTTTTTTTTTGGAGTAAATTTTGTCTAGAAAATTTAACGTCACTTAATTAATTCAAATGTTCTATTTTTTATGATCAAACACATCTCAAACATGTAAAAATGTGAATCTATAAAATGCAAGTGTTGAATTTGGTAATCAAACAGCGTCACCCTCCAAACCTTGAACATTTATAATCAACAAAATGAATTTTGGAATATCCACGTTAACATTTTGGGCTGGCTAGATTTGATAAGCTAACTTGGGAATTAAGGTTCCTGATTCCGGGTTGAGGTCAGCATACATGGTACTTGCATGGCTGGCCTCAAGATCTTTAAAGAGACTTCTTGATGTCTTGATCCCGTTATGTTCTCAAAGGTGGTGCTAACTGATTATTGATGGATCTCAAATTCTGCCGTGAGACGGTTTTGACGGACAAGACAGGGGTTGGTAGCAGCAAAAATTGGAACATCAGATTCGGGGATGATTGGACCTGAGAAAAAAGAAGAAACTGAAGAAGTAATGGCCTAGGTGGCCCCCCAGATGCTCAAGTAAATTGTCCAATTAGGAATTAGTAGTAGTATAGGGATGATAAGGCAGAAAATTGCAGTTTTGATACCAAATGTTTTGAGCCGTGGCAGTTTTAGTCCTTAAAATTTGGACAAAAGCAAATAGAGTACTAAATGTTTCTGAAAAAAAAAAGGAAAAAAAATAGAGTACTAAATGTTTCAATTTCTATGCACATTTAGTTCAATTAATTGGTTTTGTCAAATTGTTACTAGAATTCGGTCACATAAGTACACGTGCCTATCAGCTGACTTTTGAAAAAAAATTAGAAAAAAAGGAAAAAATGTTTGTACATAATATGTAAGTAAAGGGCACTAATTACTCACATATACAGTAGTCATGTAGCTAAAGAGTAAAGATTAATTACTCTGCTCGTGACTAATTGTGCCCTTTAATTACAATTTATGGCCACCAACACTTTTTTCTTTTTTCTAATTTTTTTCAAAATTAAGCCATCGTACTTGCTTTAAATGTGACCGAATTCCAGTAATAATTTGCCAAAACCAGTCAATTGGACTAAATGTGCTTAAAAATTGAAACGTTCAGCACTAGATTTGCTTTCGCCCAAACTTTGAGAACTAAAACTGCCGATATCTCAAACATTTGGTACCAAAACTATAATTTTCTCTTAGAAATAATTAATCAATCATGTAATTAATGACAAAACCTAAGACCCAAATCCCTTTCCATGTTTGATGATGAGGATTTTACAGTAACTCTGCATTACTCCTTTTCAACATAAGTAGATAAAGAGCCGAAGGCCTCTGATGACCTGGAATGGTTTTCGTCGTCCTCTCACGTGCCGCACATGTGAGTCACCAGCCTCTTTTTTTCCGCGCAATGCGCCAAATACTTCCTCTCTAGGGTTTTCTTAAATTTCCTCCGCCGCCGCCGCTTTCTCTCTTCTCCCCTTCTCTCCTTCGCCTCACCTTTATCCTCAGAAGCTAAACCCATCCCAACAGTCCTTGATCAGATCTTTCCCTCTTCCTCTTGCTCTCAAAATCTTTATTATCTCTCCTTCTCCTTTCCTTCCAACTCTTTGATTTTATTCTTGAATATTACTTCAACTTTTTTATTTTTTTTCTTTATTCTCATGTTTACTGCGCCTGCCTGCCGTCCCCAATTCCCCACTCAACTCGCCACACCGGCTACTACGACCAATTTGTCATGTCTCCCAGCTCCGGACATCACAGAATTTAAAAGCTACCAGTTGCCACTTTCTGCTGGTCCCTAGGCTTTTCTTTTCTATCCACAGCACTCCACCCGTCCATCCGGCCCAAGCTTACAGCTAGATGAAGGAACAAAGCATAGGCCTCCACTACCCGTGCCAACTGCCTATTTGTTCCGTGTTTTCATTTAACATTTGAAGCTTCAAACCCTGTAAACGATACCTAACCTTTTCCACAATCGTCTTTTATTTTCGTTCCTTGGCTGAGAGACTGCCGACTTTGTCTTGGTTGGGATTACTTTTGATTTGTTGACTTTTATTTTTCGGTCAAATATAGAACCGAGAGTGAAGCATTGACTGCTGCTTCCTCTCTATTGTTTCAGGTACTACCTCGGTTCTTCCGTTACTTTTCGTTAATTAGTGATTATTTTTCTCTCTTCTATTTGGTTGCGTCGATGTTTTGTCTTGTTTTTTCTGGAATGCAGCTAGAGTGTAGATATGTGGTGGCCCTCTTAGAGATGATCTGAAAGAAAATATTCAATCCTAGATCTTCAAGCTAAAGTAGTAGAGTGAGGTATGTGCGATTTTCTCTAATTTTTTTCCTAATTATTTCATTTCATAGGATTTTTTTCTGAATTTTCCTGAAATTTTTTTAGAATGGCAATATTGATTTTATTAGAAATGCCTCTACCGAAATTTTTCTGGCTGCTTTTCAAGTTTATTATTGCTAATTGATTAGATTACTGGAATGGACAGGTTGTTGCAGTTAAGCAATTGGATAGAAATAGACTCTAAGGTAACCGGGAATTTTTGGTTGATGTTCTTATGTTCAGTCTTTTATATCATTCTAACCTTGTAAATTTAATTGGTTACTGTGCTAATAGGGACCAGAGGCTACTTGTCTATTAGTTCATGCCCTTGGGATCATTGGAAGATCATCTTCATGGTATCATTTCAGGCATTCTTGTTCATTATCTTGTCAATTGTTTGCGGTTTAGTTATTGCATGCATTTTTAAGTTAAATTTACATGTTTACTGAAATTTACAAACTACATAAATTTTCTTAAGGAAGGCATGATGACTGTGTAAGTTTTGTTTAGTAAGTTAATTGGGTTTTTTCTACTTAAACTAACTTTTATGTTGATTGCTCTTTCTTTACAATAATGCCATTTATAAGGAAAAATAAAATGCAGAACTAATGAAGCCTCAAGGATAGAGCTTAGGCTCAAACTTGCTTATTCTAGGTATGGGGGTCAATATTCGTTTCAGGAAAAGGGGAAAGGTGGGGTTGGGGGCATATAAGTGGCATAGTATGGTGAATGGATGGTTTGGTGTTTTTAATAGTGGTGATAGCTGCTAGCATTGAAGAATCTTAAGTCCTTTAAGGTACTGCCTTCATTATTTTGTCATTTCTCTCCATTTTTTTTCCTTCCATGTTTGAACTATTGTGGTGTTGCTACTTTTTGTAATTATCAGCTATTCTTTTTGCTTGTTTCATGGTTGTTTGTTTTGATTTTTCTGCCCTGAAATTTTCTGTTGGTTTTTTGTCCGATAAAATCCATCTAAAGATGACTATTATTTGTGTTAGTATGGCTTCTGCCTCCGATTAGTGATGCAAATTTACTTCTTTTTCAATATCGAACCAGCCTTTGCATTTAGAATAATGTCTTCTTTAACTTTCTGCCTTTTGTTTTCCCTGTATTCTATACTTTTAGATGATTTATTATTGTTTTCCTATTATTGTTGATCTATTAGGGTTCAGCTGCAGAAAGTGCTTTCTCGGGGATTTGATGAAAGTTCTTGGCCACTCCAAACTAAAACCGGCAGGTATACTCTACAAAAGATAAAAGGGACAATTACCTGCCATATTCACTCTTTTGTAGGTTAATACATACTTGAACATTTAAAATTGTACTTATGAGAAAATTGGAATAGCTACTCAAACTTGGTATATTTGTAAAATTTTGACAAGATTGATAAACATGCTATATTGTTTACATGGTATTTTTCTTACTTGTATTTTGCTAAATGGTTTAAACCATGCCATGAGATAGATGGATATATTCAATGATGCACTGGAATGTTTCTATTTTCATGCTTAATAGTTGCTATTAATTCATTTTCTATCTTCTGTTGCAGCTTCTAGAAATAGCTCAAGTTCCTGATGAACATGTGAGATTCAATTTCTTCTGGTTTCTTTACCTTTTAACGAAATGCTTTTAACTGTTGGCATACTGCATGCAACCTTGTGCAATTTAAACATTGTTTCTTTAAATAACTATTTCTACATAAGAAGGTCCCAGGATTGATGTATGTAAGGGTATAAGCACGTTACATATAACCAGTTAGGTTAATCAGTATGGTTGTTTACTTAATGTGGAGTTAGATCCATCGACCTATTTAGGCAACTAAACAAGGGTATCCAGAATTAGCCCATTCTTGATGTAACATCTTTTTCTTGGGTTACACAATTTCATAGGCATCATTTTGATATTAAAGGATTATGCTGCTCCTCTTTTTTTACAGGTGAATGAATTCAAGTTGATAGGGAAGTTCAAAATTTTCAATCCCAACAACTTGTAAGTGTTATGCTTCTCATTTGAAGCTAAAATATTATTTGCTTCAAGCACTGTGGGCAATGCTTCCTTCATGGAAAATGCAATGGAATGATATATTTCTGCTATCATATAGATGGGTGAACTTGAAAGCAATCAAAAGACTTGTACAAGAAAGTGCACTGAAGATGGAGATTATTCCAAATCCAAAGGTTCTATTTCTTAACTATCCGTTCTGCATTCTACCAATGTATTTGTTCTTCTATTTAATTTTGTCTGATTAATAGGAAGTAGATGGGGTGAAAGTTCTTCAACTTGAAACTGCTACTGGCGCTACAACAAGGATACATTAACCTTATCTCTTGATATTCATTTAAACATCTTTATTTTCCATTTCTTTCCATTTAGGTTTATCAATATGGCATTTCACATTCAGTCTCCTCTCTACCAACAACCAAAGGTAAGAAGTAAAATCATTTACTTTCAGCCCCCACCCCCAATCAGTTCTTTGATCATGCTATTGAATTCTGTTTTGAATACTATATGAATTGCTATTTATTCATGCATTTAACCTTTACAGTCCGACCTGTACACTTTGTCTGATGACGGCTATGTGGTCTGCAACGAGGCTAGGAAAAATCCAACTAACCCAACTATGAATTGGGACCTGAATTTAAGAAGGTTGAGATTTTAGCCCCCTATCTTTCTCCACAGGTTGAATTGTTTATATAGCTAATTGTTTTTTTCACTTTTTTAGGTAGGCAACTTCTTAAGTCGTATCAAGTCTATTCCCAGTATTGTTGAACTAGACAGCCTAAAGATCAGTGGTGATGGTGGTTTGGATCTGGTATCACCCTGAAGGTAATACAAACTAACTACTTGTCTCCCTATTACTCTGTTTCCCTGTTACCCTGTTTCTGAAGCTTTATGGATGTATCTGTTCCTTGAAGATTTTCTTGTGATGTGGCAATTTGTGGTTGTACAGTGGTTTGTTATTTCTTATTTAGTGTCCATATGGCATATGCATTAATTTCTTCTTTTCTTTTTTTTTTCCCCTTGTTTTAAGGGGAAAGTGACAATAACTGCAAAACCTGGAACCAAATTAGAAATTCCAGACAAAGTTGTAATTGCTGATAAGGTAATATATGCAGCCGACTGCCTTAAAAATTTGGTTCACCGATTCAAAAAAAAAATTGGTTCATGGTGCATAGCAATTTGGCTTTACATTCTCTATCTATTGCCAGGTTATAAATGGCCTTGAGGATATTTAAGAGGTCTAATTCTCTGGAAGTGATGCATAGTTTTGCCATTTTTAACGTTGAAAGAAATATTTGTTTCCATTTGTTTTCTTTGTGCAATTTTTTTTTAAAGAGAAGGTACTGAAAATTCGAAAAGTGATTGACTACTTTTGAACTATTTAAAAAGATTATTTGAGAGATATTTGGTGAATTATGGTCCATAAGAAAGAATAATTGGCACTGAGAATATTTCAAGCAATAAAAGATGAAATCCCTTCAAAAGTTGTATAATTGAAATTACATTGTTGATATTAAGTTCCAAATTTTGAACTTTAAGTATCATCAACTCCAAACTTCATATTTATAGGGTGAACTGGTGGTTTAAGAAGAATTATTCTCAATTTCGCAGAATGACGTTGGATGTTAATGTAGGAAAAATTTAATCTGATTGAAAAATTCTTTTGTAATAATCCATTGTTCATTCTCTTCTGCTTGTTATACATGTACTTAACCCAAATCGTCATTTGGTTTTTTGTAGGACTGGTTCCAAAACTGAGCTTGCTCCAGTTTCAGTTTCAACAGGTTCTCGCACTGATGCAATACCATATTCTGGGAAATATGATGGGGTAGTTGGCATGTTGGGTACAATAGAAGCCATCAACGTTCTAAAGCGGTATGTTGGCTAAATTGGCTTGACTGACTCTTGTTAGCCCTCTTGAATTCTTAAATTGTACCATGGCCCAAAATTCAAGGTTGCAGTTGTTTGCTGGTTTGCTTTACCTAAATTTTTCGCTTGTTCGATGGTAGGTAATTTTTTTACGGAGTTGGAATCTTAGAGAATTGCCTTTCCCCCCTACTCCTTTATGTGTTTCTTGGATCCTTGCTTTACTAATGCTGCTATGCAATGGTCTTAATGCTAATTTTTTCATCTTTTTTCCTTGTATGCTTTGTTCTTTCCCTTATGTTAAATATCTGGCTGTGATTGTTTGCTGCTTTTTGATGTTTTATCTTTTCTGGAGTTTTGTTTGATTTCTTTTGGATTTTTCATAAGAGATGTTAAAAAGTAGGAACAAGTTTTTGGATACAAATCTGGAGAAAGTTTGTGGAGCTTCCCACACATTCATTTGGCAACCAAGATACACGTGATGCTTTGTCTGCAGCAATCCACCATGAGAACAAAGCTGTCATGTACCACTGCAAATATCCACTTTTAAGGTTTATTGATGACTTCATTTTCATGTCAACGTCAAAGAAACGGGCCTCTTTGTTCTTCTCCCGGTTGCAAGGAGGATTTCATGGATACAACTGCTATATGAATAAAGGGAAATTTGGTGTAAATTTTGATATGGATCATGTATCAGGATTCAGGTCAAATATACTCTATATGGGTTAACTCTATGGTTGACCATAGAGTAAATTTTGAAATGAAGCTTATGGATTTGAAGCTCAAGATAAGATAGCTGATTTGGATTCCTATTTTCGTGAAACAATTTTGCCTCCTACTTATTCATGTGTATTTATATTTAGCTGTGTACACAAATTATTAACTGACAAACATTTTTGTTCCATGAATCCATATGTCTAAGTGGGCATATTTTCTGTTTATCCCAACGCGCGCAGCGCGTTTTGTGCCTCCTAGTCCTTGAGAAATGGAGTATAGTTTGTTTACGAAGATTACCCTTTAAGTTGCTGTCATTTATCAAGCAAAAAGTATCAAGACTCTTTATGTAGTGTAAATCATTCAGAGGTCCGCGATGGATCCACGAGGGTTAAGTAATGGTGCAGTAGCTAACCTGCCTACACAAATAACAGAAAATGTTCTTTGAGGGGTAACTGTCATAAACATGATAACTTTGGAATCATGACAACAATTTTTGAAATTAAACATAATTTTCAAGGACTAGGGCATACGTACATCAAGTGGAATGAAGTCGATTTTTGTGAAGGTTATTATCACTTTACCCCTTTAAACTATATCACCACTCTCAGTTTACCCCATAACATTATCTTTTTATCACTCAACCCCTATAAATAATTCAACTCAACATGTTAAGAAATTTTGGACAAAAATACCCTTTTATTCTATAGTATTACTACATTGTTATTATCATATCTCTTTAAATTATAGTGATACAATCATTTTAATTTCTAACATTATTTTCTAGCCATTTTACCACATCATTAATCTAATTAGTATGGTCAAAAATTTTTAAATATATTTACCCTTTTATATATAATCAAAAATAAAAAAAGTTAGAATGATTATTCTTTCTTTTTGTTCACTTTAAGAGATCCAAAAATATAAAAATAAAAGGATTTTCTCAAATTTATGTTTTCACACTTATTAATACAAGGAAAAAAAAAAGAGATAGGAAAAAAGGAGATAGAAAATTAGATTTTGCAAAGAAAGAAAATAAAGAAGAGTCTAACATTATCGTATTATTTTAAAGTTGTCGGGATTAAAATTGGAATTTGGTGGTAAACAGAAAAGTGAAATAATTTTAAACTAATAAAAGTATTTAATTCTTTCTTATTTGTATTTAAAAAAAAAGAATTAAGTTCTCTCTCTCTCTCTCTCGCTCCCCCTCCCCCTCCCCTTCTTTCTATTTTTTTCAATATTAATAAAATTGTCAAGAAGAAAGAGATTAATGTTTTAACTTTTTTTCTTGATACTGAAAAGTAGAAGAACCACTCTAAATTTTTTAGAGTAAATCTTTCCTATACAGATGGTGTATACACTATCATCGTTCGATTCATGAAATGTCTGCAAAAGTTGAATTTCAAATTCAAATTTTGCATAGTTATCATTCATCCAACGCTGATAGTGTATACACTGTCAGTGTAGAAAAGACTAATCCAATTTTTTATTATTTTTATTAGGGAAAATGATCGGTTTCATCATTCACATTTCACAAAAATGATACAATTTCGTCCTTGACATTTAAAAACTAATATTATTACATCCCTGAACCCAAATTTCAATCTGAATCAAACCACCAATCAACCTGATTACAAATTTTAGGGGTGTAATTGGTAGATCACTTGGTTAACTCAACTTGATATTCATGTCAAATTTAATGAACCTAAAAATAAAAAATAAAAAATAATAATATAAAAAAGAAAGATTAATCTTTTCTACGTTATCATTGTATACACTCACGGTTTTATGTACCGCCATATCATTTTAATTTTAATTTAAACACCAAATTTTATATTTATGATACACATCTAAATTCGCAAGCGGATATACTAACGATGCATGAAAAGATTTATAAAAAAAAAAAACTCTACTATTCCAAGACAAAGAATGGCCTTTTATGTTATAATTTTTATTTTTTTGGTTTAATAAATGTCATGTGAATACGATAAAGTTGACCGAATGATCTATCAATTCTATTTTCGAAATTTATTACTGGGTTATTGGATGGTTTGATTCAAATTGAAAATTAGATTCAGGGATGTAATAACTTTAATTTTTAAATGTCAGGGACGAATTTGCTTCATTTTAAAAGTGAGCGATGAAAAGAATATTTTTGCGAAATGTGAGGGATGAAATAGGTCATTTTCCCTTTTTATTAAACAAAGAGGAGGGTACTTTTTTCTAAAGTTTTTTAACTTCCTAAATTGGTTTAATGGTGGGATAAATTGTCTAAAAAAATAACTTTAGATGATAAATTGATAATGAAACTATAGTTTATATGGGTAAAGTGATAAAATAATTTTAAGAGCTAAACATGTCTTTTCCTTTTAATTAACAAACTCCGTTAAATTTGACGGTTAGTCTTGGGGATAAAGTGACTAGAAAATAACTTTAAGAGGGAAATTAATAGTGACACCAAATGTTAAAAGGGCAAAGTGATAATAACCCTTTTTAAAATGAGCAACACAAATACATCTTAGAAGGGTTAATCACATTTTATCCCCTTAAAGAATACCTCATTTCTCAGTTTACCCCCTAACCTTTAATTTTACTCACATAACCCCCTTTAGGACAAAATTACCCTTGCATTATTTTGACTTTTCATTTACCTTGTTTTCCTTTCTTTTATTTCTTTTTCTCTTTCTTCTTTATTTAATTCTTCCTCTTTCCCACAAAAATCTTCACCTTAATGATTGAAATTCAAAAAGATGAATTGCAGAGATCTATCTTCTCCTTAAATGATTAAAAAAATATTCAAATCACTTTCCTAAAATACAATTTTTTTAGCCTTTCAATTCTTTTAATTTTGGGTTTTCCTCTTTCCTTTCTAGTTTCTCATTTTATTCTCAAGAAAATATCATAAGATGAAATTGTTTTCCTTTCTTTTATTTCTTTTTCTCTTTCTTCTCTCTTTCATCCTTCCCAATAGAAATTCCATTTCAACGAAAATTTTTGTTTTGAGTTTGTAATTGCATATTTCTGGGTGAAGGTTTAAAAGTCATCAAAAACTAATTTTGATTTTTTGTATGATGTCACATGCCACAAATTTCAATTGATGATTATTAATCAGGTCACAATTTCATTTTAAGATATTTTCTTGGGAATAAAATGAGAAACTAGAAAGGAAAGAGGAAAACCCAAAATTAAAAGAATTGAAAGGCTAAAAAAATGTATTTTAGGAAAGTGATTTGAATATTTTTTTTTAATCATTTAAGGAGAAGATAGATCTCTGCAATTCCTCTTTTTTAATTTCAATCATTAAGGTGAAGATTTTTGTGGGAAAGAGAAAATGAAATAAAAGAAAGGAAAACAAGGTAAATGAAAATTCAAAATAATGCAAGAGTAATTTTGTCCTAAAGGGGGTTAAGTGAGCAAAATTAAAGGTTAGGGGGTAAACTGAGAAATAGGGTATTCTTTAAGGGGATAAAATGTGATTAACCCTCATTAGAATTAGCTTAGACTACAACTATCAAGAAAATACGCGATAATCTTATGGTGGATAATAATTGTCCTCTAAGGTAATGCTTTATGACCAAAACATCTCTGTACAAAGATTTAGCTCATTATTGGTGCTTGTGACATGATCACGTTGGACAAGGCTAACGGGTGAAGACATTATAAGCCAACCAAATTTTCAAGTTTGATACTTGAACAAGAGCAGCTGTTGAATCTTTGGTCTGTGCATTGCTTCCTAATTATTGGTCAGAAAAAAAAAAGTTAAGGTTTTCCCCTTTCTTTGTTTTTTTTGGTCCTTTTGTTTAAACTCTTTTCTCCATGTTTGAACTTTAAAGCAACGCTTAAAAATCCTATCCCGTAGGACCGATTTCCCGAGGGAATAAAAAGAAAAAAGAAAAAGAAAGAAATTAATTTAAAAATATTGTAAAATGAATACTAATGAAATAACAAAATGTAGAATGGAATAAAAGAGAGATATAGACAAGAGAGAAGTAGATAAAAGTAGAGAATTATTCTTTTATTAACTCAAATGATCAAAAACTTACAAAAAGATGTTCAATGACCTCTATTTATAGAGGCATTGAATATAAGAAAACTAAAGGGTTAACCTCTAATTATAAGAGAGGTTACAAAATTAATTGTACAGGGAAATTAAATGGTCATCCACACCAGCTCTTTTATCCTTTTATATTTTGGGGGAATTCAATAGACATAGGAAAACTCAATGGACATGGGAGAATTTAATGGACATTCATCTCATTTAGTTATTTCATAACAAAAAAAAAGTACTCCCTCCGTCCCACTTTGATAGTCCCATTTCTTTTTTCACACAGTTTAAGAAAAAGTAGTTAACTTTGTTGGAAAAGTAAATTTAAATTACTATTTTCCTAAAATACCCTCACATTAAATAGAGTACAACTTTATGGGAACTTGAATTGATGGTAAAAAAAGAATCAACTCTCATTAAATGGGGTAGGTTTATAGTAACAACAACTTATATTGAATAAGGGCATTTTAGGAAAATTAAAATACAACTACATTTTTCAATTGGAAAGTGAACTACAATTTGGGACAGACGAAAAAGGAAAACAGGACTATCAAAGTGGGACGGAGGGAGTAAATAAATACCAATGGAGCATAATAAACATTCAGTAGTCACATGACAAAATACAAGACTTTGTAAGTCATCAATCAGAAGAAAAAGAACAAGACGGCCCATATAGGTACATATTTTCCATTAGGTAGCTGACAAGAATTCAAGAATCCCGTGCTGCACGCTGAAGAGCGGATCGAAGACCTTGAACCAATTCTTTCAAGGTCAGGCTGAATTCTTTATCCATCTGTGAATAATCAAATGAAAAATCACTCAATGATGAGCATAATCAGTGAAAGAGATTAAATTTAATAAGATTCTTTGGCAGCTCCAAATAAAATCTAAAATCTCACCCCAGCAATGATTGTAATGTCAAGAGCCAGACTTCCAAATGGTGCCACACTCGCGTTAGAAACAGCAAGATTGAGCTTTTCAATTTCAGAAAGCACTTTAAGTAGCACTCCTCTATGATTTTCACAATGGACTCTTAGAAGAACCTTCTTATCACAAAGTTTAGCCTCAATTTCAGGTAGTGGACGTTGCTCATCCGAAGATCCCTCGTCTTCAACTACGAGTTGGGATTTCTTCACAAGCACCACCGATTGCATTTTCTGCTTTGTGGCTTGCTCCTCTAGTGTCTTGACTCTTTCCTTGAGATGTTTTAAGTATGTGATGGCATCTCCAAGGACTGAGGTTTTATCCATCTGCAAGAAATACAAGATTTTGTCAAGATAAATTGAATAAAGTTTAAATCGAAATCAGCGCATGCACATATTGAAAGATGTGGTTATGCGGATGGTAATGATATTCGCACAGTCTTTTTAGTTGACTTGTATTGCCATAAATGAATTTTGTCTCCTATACATGCTCGTCATTTGGCTTAAAATACTTGAATGTTTGGATTAAATTTATATGTAAACAAGGGTCTACATAAATTGATGCGACAAAGGGTCATTATCTAGAGGGTAACGAATATTTACATCCACTTTTTGGTTTCTTGTACACCCTACAATGATTATTGTTTACTATATATGTACATGCTTGTCATTTGGTTTGATAAAAAATTAGAAAGGATGTGAAAGAATCCAAAAAGGTACAGTGCTTTGATACAGTGTTGTGATTATCAGTTGGGTGAAATGGACAAGAAGATCTGTTAAATTATACTCCCTTCATTTAATTATACAAACTTTGTCATACTAATTATTTCCAGGCGGCCGAAAGCACTTGTAATCTTTCTAAACTTCACATGAATCATGTCTAATAATAACCTTTTCAAACTCCAACATTTTTACGAAAAAATTCTGTCAAATTTTACTGGAGTCAAATTCAACAATTGCTGTGGGATTGATATGAAGATCTGAGATATTATATTATATGTGTGCCTATAATTGGCTAGCCACCAAAGGGATCGAGGCCAAATAATTCAAAATCTGGAAACCATTCGTTCAATTGTGAACTACTATATATGGATGTGTATTACTAGTAAACTGAAGGTAAATTAAATATAATCCCCATGTGATTTTATGTAATGTCAGATGATCTTTCTAAATTTTCAAAATAGTCACATAACCCCTTTGTGATTTTATATAAGGGTAAAAAACAAAAAAGCCCCCTGTGGTAAGTCTAATACACAGAAAAGCCCCCTATGGTTTCAAAATATACAACACGATACCTCATGCTTTGAACTAAATTGTAAAGGTGACGGAATCCGTTAAATTTAACGGAAATGACTTATTGGAACCTAAAAAAAAAATTTATACTTAATTTTTATCAAATATACCTATTCTACCCCTTAACCCTCAATTCTCTCTATTTAGAGAATAAAACAAATGATTTTTTTTGAGCTGTCTTTTGCTTAATTATATCAGGGTATTTTGGTCATTTTGTCCATTTCCGTTAACTTTAACGGATTCCGTCACCTTTACAATTTAGTTCAAAGCATGAGGGGTCGTGTTGTATATTTTGAAACCATGGGGGGCTTTTCTGTGTATTAGGTTTACCACAGGGGGCTTTTTTATTTTTTACCCTTTATATAAAGTAAAAAATGGATGAAATGCATAATTACTTATAACGATTAGACAACACGTGCTCAAAAATTGCATATGCTGAAATCATAATATCCACTTAATCCTCTACAGTTTGCATAAATATTCACTTTATTCTCCTGTACCTTTATACGAGGTGGTTAAGTCCCTATTTGATTTAGTGTTTAAGTAAGAGCACCACTGGTATTTCAACAAATGACATTATATAGACTAGTTGTCGTTAAATTTTCATTTTACATGAAACCATAGCGTTGGATATTTTAAAACAATAGGGGTGTTATGTAATAATAAATGAAACTATAGGCGGCTATTAGTAATTTACCCAAAAAGTAAAAGATAATGCTCAGAAAAATCAGAATAAGAAAATACATCCAGACCTTCTTGAGGCCGGGAACGATGGCTGAAAGAGCGACAAATCGTTGGCTGAGCTGCTCCCTTCGCTTTCTTTCAGCTATAATATGGTCATATGTTTGTGATGCTGGCCTGGTACGACCTTTCTTAGGTGCCGGGGCACTTTTAGTAGCCTCCTCAAGATTTGGAAACGAAACACGGGATGTCAAAACCTCAGAAACCGCATCATCCTCAGGGTTCAAGCCTCCTAGACTAACTTGTCGAGGATTCACTGTTTCTGTCGGACTAGGGTTGCCAAAAGTGAGGATTACCGGAGTGGAGCGGTTGCGCTTGAGCTGTCTGGCTGGTCTTTCAACTTCACCTGGAGGAATTTCAATGGCTGAAGATGTACACAAGTTGGCAGCTGGCTGAGGAACTTCCACAGCTGAAGATGATGCATTACATAAAGCCGTAGTGGAACTGCTTCTTGGAATCAGGTGGGAAATGCAAGTGGGGGAGTTGCTTTCTGAAGGCAGAGAACCCTGAAAGTCGTTTCCAAGTGCAGCACAGATGTCTTCATCAAAGAAGTCCATAATGTCGCATTGGTCACTCAGAAATGGATCCTCCATTCCCTGTTAATAAAGTAAAAGAATGTCACCAATTCATGCTTTGGAAAGAATTGGTGTCATCTGTCTTAGAAGTCTCTGATAAATCCAAGGTGGCAAGCTTCATGATAGTAGATGTATTTCACACATTTATAACTAAGTTTTTAAGTATAATTAGGAATAGCCAGATCAAGATTTGCCTTTGAGTAGGTAGGATTTTGGTACATGCTATAAAGAAACAAACAAGAGAGCTTTTTGGGGTATTGGCTTCATATAACATCCATCCCATGTGGTGGTTTTCATCCTCCAGGTACAGTCATTTCCTCATTATTTCGGCTTTACAGAAAAGAAAATCACTCAAAATATATAGACAAGCCAATGGGAGAAAGAAAAAATAATGTCCAGCAAAAGTTCTGACAAATGTATAGAAAAAGTGCCAAAATATAGGCACTTAAGTTATTCAAAATATGAGCGAAGAAGAAAATAAGATACAATATAGAGATACAAGTACGTGTGATATAAGAGAATCAAATTCATCGTAAAGAAAATGCATATACAGTTTAATCATCTTGTGACATGTGCCTACTGCCAATATCTATACGTGAAATACAAAAATCAATAGAGGCAACAGAAGTTAATCAATGGTTCATGAAATTAGATAGATCATCTTAACTTTCAAGCTTCATTTTATTTACGATGCAAGGTCCTAGTAATTATCAAGTGGAGAATTAATTCTTACCAGATCAGAGAACCATGAAGTAGCTGAATTATCCATCACCTCAAATAAATCTGCTTGCAACTTTCTGCACCTGGATAACCAATAAATAAACGGGCTCCATTACTACGAAAATGATGAAGAGATTTTTCTTGAGAGATCAAATCAAACTTATGATAGAAATGTAGTAGTTCCAGTATAGACCTTATTGAAATGAACGACGAGAAGTTATAGAAGGGGGAATGAACTCACTGGTTCTTTCTCACTCAACAACTGCAGCTGTGGGCTTCTTCTTGTGGAAAGGTGCTAAGGGGTTTTTGGCATCTTATATAGATTAGTAGGTTGGAGCAGGGCAATGATTGAGCTTCTGTACCGCTTGCAGAAGTGATGGAAGTCTGGAGATTGATATCAGCGCTTCAAAAGAAGCCTTCTGCGCTCCGTTCTTGAGCTTCCTTCAATGGAGCGCTGAAAGTGAAGAATGGAGCGGCATTTATCACATTCTTTGCATTTATACCCTGCGGTCCAATTGATGGTTTAAGAGGGACCAAGGACCTCCATAATTGTACTCTAAGTTTATTCTTAATTATACTACCATACGATAAATATATGGATTAAAGAATTGAACGTATCATTAGAATTGCTAATGCGTACTGTTTTAACTTTTCAGGTATCTGGCTTTTAAGATTTGTACCTAAATCATTTCAACGGTTTAAACATCTAGGATCAATTTTCTATGCATTGAAAGAGAGTTTAGAGCCATAGAGAGAAACTCACCTCTAGACTAAAGCATATACTGCTATACACTTTCTGAATTTGACTACATGTGACGTACACTATCTTATGCTTTGTTATTGATCAACACACTTGAGATGAGATGATCTTTTATTCACTAGTAGTGTGTATATTTTTTATTCTAATAATAAGTATAGATACATGTCATATATATAAAAGTTAAATTTTAAATTTAATTGTAGATTAAATGACATGCATTTACACCTACTAGTATAATAAAATTTTTACGATGACACAGTATAAAAAAATTAATCCAAAAATTTAAATGTGGTAATCTCAACTCACAATCTCATTTTATAATTACTCAATCAGTTTAACACTTTGTGGCAACCTACAAGTTGGGCTTGCTCGAAACAGTTTCAAATAAGTATTGGACTTTTTTCAGTTAAAAGTTATTGTCGTCCTGAATTTTTTTTCCTTCTGTCTTTTTTTTCAAGCTAACACACATATGGATTAAGAAATTGAATGTATCAGACAGCATTTGGGAGTTTTTTTGAAAACAAATGTTTGCTTTTAAAAAGCACTCTTTTAATTTTCTGAACAAATTTATTTATAGGCTTGCTGATAGTTAATTAGAAAAACTCGAAGCTGTTGAGAACATTCCCTTTCATTACATTTCGTACTTCACGGACCGAATTGAATACAAGCGTGTAGCATTGACCTTTTACTTGTACTCCTACGTCCCAAATTAATTATTGTATTTCGAGATTCTAACCCTTTGAAAATAGTGACTTAATGGTGATGTTAATGGATTTATTTCCAAAGTTACTCTTGAAAATTCAAATTTCAAATTTGAATTCAGTATGATATATAGAAAAGGGTGGGGATAACAGTGGAAAAAGAGACCAAATGTAGCTTTAATTTCAATACGACAACAAACATTTTGGGACAATCTAAAATGAAAGCATGGATGAAGGGACTATCTTATTATGATATTCTCAAATAATTCGAATAATTGTTCAAAACATCTTTCACATTTCATCAAATAAATTTTTTAGTCTTTTACTTTTAAAATAGTAACTTTACGTCCCTTACAAAATTAAGATGGCAAAACTTAATCCCAACTTAATTTTTTTGATTACTTTTTATCTCGAATCCATCACGTAACGCACATATGAATATTTCTTTACGAGCAAAAAAGTTAAATCCTATTTGTAGTTAAACAAATGATCTGATCCATATTCATTTTTGCTCCTAAAAATAGGATCTGATCTAAACTATATTCATTTTTTTTTCAAATAAAGGAGGTTTGACCCAATCCATATTCATTTTGTGGAATTTGACTTTTCTATACATAAAAAATGATTCCATGTGCATCATGTGCTGATTTCAAACTAACAAGTGGTCGAAAACTTAAATTGGGATCAAATTTTGCTAACCTAAATTTGTAAGGGGCATAAAATTAACATTTTAAAAGTGAATGGCAAAAAAATTTATTTAGCAAAATGTGAGTTGAATGATTTTTCCTTAAATAAGTTTATGGTGACATTTTCTGTAGTATGACAATTAGTGATCATTAGGCAAGGAGACCAGTTTCTATTCGAATGAATGATTTTTGAGACTTGAATGTACGCATCGTTTTCAAAACTGTGCTTTTTATCTATTTTTTGAATCTAAAATAAATTTTGATATTTTTTGGGAAAAGGTCAGCTGCTTTAAAAAGGAGAAAAATATTACAAATTAGGTGTTTGTATCTAATACTTAATATCCAGAACAACTAAAGAATAAGAGAGATAAGAATCTACCAAACTAAGCAACTGGCCAAAAAGTACATAATGTTCGATTTAATTGCTTATACAGAGAACTATTTCCACAAAAAATTACAAAACCAGACTGAATGTATGTCCCAAGCTTCAAGAGTATCTCTGTACTTGACCTGAACATGACCAAAAGTGGAGTGTGCTAATCTTCTTCTGACAACATGATTTGCTCAAATACATGCTTGTGGGTTTTTTATTTGTGCTGGAAGATATGAGCATCTCGTTGAGCCAAATGAAATAGATATAAGCCCCAAAAGAAACTTTTCTAATGATCCACATGCCAGAAAAAAATTTTCTCAATTTTAATGTTGAAATACGTTATGCTATTTATAACATGTCCGCATGCTAAGGATCATTACCCGGGACAATTATTCGGGTCAATTCCAATTCGCATTGACAAAATTAGATGCCCTGTTCCCACATCTATTTGATGTGTACTTGGGTACATGTGTGCGCTAAAAGGCAGACTGATCAATTAGATACTAACACTTTTTTGTGGTAAGAAATGGTTAAAAAATGTTTGCTTTGCAAATCCAAGGGTCTAGGCCAGACGTGTGGATCGTGTATGTGTTTTGCAGAGTAGCCATGCACAGAGAGGATCAAGGACCAAGCAAAGAGATAGATGTTCTGACTGAATTATGCACCGTGATTCTATTCGACCTGTTGATGTATAAGAATTATACATCCATGGTAGTTTATGCATTTATTGAAAGATATATAGAAGTAGTAGATACTTGAATTGAATATATGTGTATATATTAATAACGATGGGAATAATTTATTTCAAGATGGATCTCAAAATATTATTGATTCTTATACCATGTGGTGTAGTAACAACATGTTTAGATATTCCAAGATAGTAGAGTTGGCGTCATGCCTTTCTCTCAACCCAAGTTCGAATCTCGTCTGGAATATTCACCCGTCGCATAGGGGTTGCCTAATGTATCTTATCCTTTCGTGTGATTGGTGGGCTATTACACTATATGGAGTTTATCCAGTACGCACTCTTGAATAGCGGCTACAGGTTCCCTTGTCAACCAAAAAAAAAACATGTTTAGATATTTTGGATTCATTGCACATTCGCCCGTCACACAGGATTTGCCTAGTGCATCTTATCCTTCCGTGTGATTGGCGGGCTATTGCACTGGACGGGCTTTACCCAGTGCACATTCTCAAGTAGCGGTTGTAGATTCTCTTCAATGTTTTGAAAACCGGATCGGAGGCATGGCTGGTTCGCGGTTCAATTAAAAATCCAAAGAATTAATTGAACCGGTCAAGAATAGGTTCAACTGGTCCAAACCAGTAAAAATCGGGAGGTTCAACCGATTTTTATTAAGTATTTATTTTTTACAATAAATATTTTAGTTTTATTCAAAATTTTTAATACTAAATTGAATAAAAAATTATTAAACATTTGAATCGGTTGAACAGGTCGAACCGTGAACCAGAAGGTTTTCCGATTCACTCTCCAGTCCAAGTTTAAAAACATTGATTCTCTTGTCAACCAGAAAAAAAAATGTTTAGATATTTTGGATTCGTTGCCAAAAACTTATCCTTTCTTGTGGTTGGAAGGCTATTGCACTAGGTGGGGTTCATCTAGTACGCACTCTCTCTCGAGAAGCAATTGCAGGTTCCCTTGTCAACCAAAAAAAAATATTTTGGATTTGTTGCCAAAAAGATTTTGATCTAATGATTAAAGTTGAGATCTCAAAAATTAAAAATCTTGAATTTATATTTCTCTATCCTCCTCGCTTCTTAAATCCTATCATTAAAAAAAATCAAAATATATATTTTAGAAAGGCTAAGTTTGAGTCATGACTTTATTATTGGTGGTCACAGTTCGACCAAAAAGGCATCCACATTTATACAACCACTTCATGACTTCATCAATGATTGATCATATGCATCATAAAAATTAATATCGTCGGCTTATTCCATAGAGTGTCTTTTGTACTCAACGATTAAGCTCAATGACCACCTATATATAGAGCCTTAAGAGCTATCATGGTGGTAGGAAGGGGTTCATTGTCCCACTCTTTCCTTACTGTTATTCATTTAACCAAAAGAAGAAAAAGAAAAAAAAAAAAGAAAAGAAAACAGACGAAGTCTTGTAGTTACTTGGAGAAACAAATACACAGCTCACAAACACTAATTTTGAACCATGCAAAAGAACGCATAGAATTAGCTTTACATCATTCTTGTGTGGATTTAAAAGAGAATACTTTGAAGTTTGAACCGTCACCCTTCAGCTGATTTGATGATGTATTTTGACTCCTAAAAAAATTTGGATTAATCTTCTATACACTGACAGTGTATACACTTTTACCATTAGATGCATGACATATAATTCGAATTTAATTTTGAAACTCAAACATTGTATATGTATCGTATATCCAACCGTGATAGTGTATACACTGTAAGTGTACATAAGATTTACTCAAAAAAAATTTGGATAGTCCATGTAGAGTGTTATGAGATCAGAACAAATGCCCATTTTATTGTTCCAAA